CACCCCCCCCCAGGGCGGCCCTCGCCGCCTGCCAAGCCCCAGAGCAGGGGTCTGGGCATTCGCTGTCACCCTGCGTGCTGGTGGCGACGTGGCAAAGCCGGGGCCGTGCTGCACAGGAAAGGCATGGCTCTCGCGCTGTGTTTCCCAGCGCCGTGCTTGCCCCTGGTCAGCACAATCAGGAAGGCAACCCGGTTCTCCCGCAGCCGGCGTCGCCCCGTGCTGGTGCTGCCAGAGCCGGCGCCCCCCCCGCGCCTCTTCCCTGCCGGGGCTGCCAGCTCGGCTCATGCTCAGCCAAGTGCGCAGGATGAAAGGGTGCTCCCGGGGTACTGGGGAGCGCTGGTGGCAGCATGAAGGTCACGCCGCGTCCCAGCGGCGCGGCGGCAGCGCTCTCTAATGCTGCTGATCAGAGATGCCCGTGGGGATTGCGGAGCAGCATGGAGGTGACCCCTGCGCTCGGGGTCAGCAGGCCGCGGCATGCGTCAGCCCGGAGCAGCTTAATCCCAACCGGGCAGGGGGAGGAGCGCGGGGGGGGCGGCAGATTCCTGACCCACAACCGAGCCTGGCATCTTCTCCGGCACCGCCGTGGTCCACCTCCCGCTGTAACTGGGTAGGGTTGAGTGGTGCCGCCCTGGCACCGGCAGGGCGAGGAGGAATAATAGGAACAGGCAGCAGAAAACATAAAGCAAAAAAATTCCTTTTGTCTTGAGAAAGCAGCCCTTCGCAGATTTTCTGCCTCCCTGAAATAGCTTTTCCTGCCACCCAAAAGGAGATGGAATATTTTGCAGGGCATTATTTCAGAGGATTTTTTTTTTAAAATTTTTACTGTAATCATGTGACAAAGCTTGAAATGCTTGTGAATGGCTTGATACGTGGGAAAATAAATATGCAAATACTGTCCCCGGGTTTGCCAGCAGGATTCCCCGAGCTGTTTCCCAAGCACACAGTTCAGCCTATACTCGTTATCGGTTCTAGTCGCTCATGCAGGATCGCATGAAATGCAATGCAGAAAATCGCTGGGTTTTCTGCAAGCTGAAAACCTGCGCGTAAAGCTGTAAGTTGCAGGGAGCTTTGCGACTCCTTTCTCACAGAAACTCTCTTTTTGTGCACGGCTTTAACTGGAAGCAGATGCACGTGCAGGGAGCCGCAGCGCATCTTGTCCCGCAACAGGCTTGCAGGACAGCACGGGACAGTGAATTACTGCACGTGTAGGCTGGAAACGGAGAGGATCTTACCGGTATTTACCCCGGTGCTGCAGTCCGTTCCCTCTGCTGTGACCGCCGAGTTCGTCAGGGACACGGAGGTGCCTGGGGAAATCCCGGCAGTGGACGGAGCGCGCCGTGAGAGGCAGCTTCGTTCAGCCCTGTGCCGTGGGAGGAGGCAACAGCGAGCTCGGGCTGCCAAAAGGCACCGGACAATTAAACGGTCCGGCATGGGAGGAACCTTGGCGAACGTAACATCTTCCACTGCCCCCACGTCAGGCCAGGGGCACCCCTCTGCTTCCCGACGAAGAGCTCGTCCTCGCCGCTAGAGAACTGAAGAGTCGAGCTAATGGCGCTTCGTGGGGTTTGGGCCTACGTCCAGGAGGGAACGGGCTGGACCGAACTGTGCAACGTCGCGCACGCTGCCGATGAAAGAGCCGCTCGCTGGAGCCCAGCACACACAAACTAGATTTATCTCGTCACCCCCTGAGATGTTTTTCCCCCCGCGCATGGAGGCAGATGTTTGGTTGTTTAAGATTTAAAATCATCTACCACTGAGACACTTTTCAATAATGAGGCATGATTGGGAAGGATGTAATCGATCCATTTCTCAATACAAGAGAAGCAAGAGGCTTGCAAGTGAGCGTTAAGTGATTCACCAGGTTAGATGCTCTCCTTGCTTCCCCTGTCCTCTCTGCTTAATTCTTCCAAGTTTGAAAATGATTCTTTGCTTCTGTTTCTCTTTTTCTCAAAAAATCAAATTCAGATACAAATGGAGCAGGATGGGAATGGGTTTATTTCTTTGCTATTTTAATACAAGTATCCACATGTTTCTGACCGCAATTTCTCATAATAGTATAAAAAAAAGAGATGAGTGGACTTGTAGCTGCTTCGAAACACTTGCTGAAGTTTCAGGTTCTGAAGGATTGATGGGTCCTTCTGGGCCGTGACGCCACTGCCTGTTGCACAGCCTTGTCTTCTCTTATCAGGGTGTTAGAGTCAGCTGGGAAAGAGCAGGCCTGCAGGCCCACAAGGAGAAATTAAACATCCTGGACAGATGTCGGGTTAGGCCCATGCAGTTTCAGCTGAAGCTTTCCAGACTGGTTTTGACCCGTTCCATTTCATGCAGAAAACTGTAGAACTGGGGCAAAGTTAACTCTGCAGAAGAAGAGAGGCATCGAGTCTTAGATTTCAGGTTTCACTTCCAACACTGGCAAAGCCATTCTGGTGCTACCGCAGAGCAACTCGTGTTCACCTAAGCTAGGCGGGATTAGACACTTTGGCTCTCGGCAGCTGTTTCTTTACACTAGGCCGGGCTGCGCGGGGTTCCGGGCTAGGATTCTCCTAACAGCAGCTGGCACTTGGGAATTGTTTACTTTCTTTGTCTGCCAATGCTGCTCTGACCGCTTTTCACGACTCCATGGCATATCTGTATTTACTTACGCAAAGATGTGAAGACTCCCCGGCAGCCAGTGTTCCTAACTACTTCCAGAGCGACTGCGGCGGGGAGAGGCCAGGGCAGGAGCGGCCGCAGCATCCACCAGCGATGCTCTCGCAGTGACCCCTGCTGGGTCGGCGCCCAAAGCTCCCCCGCCTCCAGCAACACCCGGGAGCTCTGAGCTGCCGCTCCGCTTTCACATACTCAAACGCTTGCTTCTTTTCCAGAACTGTTAACTCACCTATATATACGTTTTCCATTTGGCTCCCTTTCTTAATCACCAGCTTCAGCTTGGGGGAAGAAAAAGCAGAGGTATTTTAATTCAGAGAGACCCGTATTCTGAGCGCCATGAAAAGACAGAAGTACAGGAGTCTGCTGTGAGTTTCAGGCGGGCAGACTGCTGCCAAGCACGCACATCTTTGACAGGCTTTTTGGGAAGTGTCACTGTAGGAATAGATTCCTTCGGCATTGAGAGGATCTCTGGAAGTCCTTATAAATGATCACATTTCCCCTCCCTCCCCAAGATAGCGTGACCTTTGCTAGATTGAGCTTTCTGAACAGCTTTTCAGAGTGAGCTATGCTTCTGTGATACATGATGTCTTCAGAAGAGAAACAAATAGCAGTGTGCCTGCTATCTGCTGGCAGCTGCACTCAGAAGACTGAAGCAGATGCACTGTTGCAGAGCTCGTTCCTACGAGATGTAGCTTTCCTCTAGTTCCTCTCACAGCCAGTACTTCCCACGTGCCCGGTCGCAGCTTGCTCCTCAGCTGCACTACAACCTGAACTCTCTGATGTAGGAGATTTACCTGTAAGAAGATACTTCCCACTTTTTCCAGTTCACTGCTCCCAGCCGTCACTGTGAGTCCGAAAGAAGAGAAGGGAGATAATCTGTTAGCTAAACTGTGAAATAAAAAGTTATTTAGCAGAGAGCTGCTGTCGGGTTTCCCAACCCATTCAGTTTATGTTTTAGCTCTATTACCTCCAAACTTCCACTCCATATCTATCAGCTGGTTAATCATCAGCGTCTGACCAACAGCCAGGCGTGTTAGGGTGGGGGAATTCACCTTCCACTGCAAGAGCAAAAGACACACAAGCAATCAATTCGGAGAGGCCTCCATTTATGTTACCTGTAATTTCAACATCAATTGGAAACTAGGCAGACTGATGGCAGAAGCCCAAAGCGGAGGGGTGTAAAGGGGCAAACTAATGTGGTCGGGAGGGCTTTCAAAGATGTTTGAGTCCTGCTAGGATTTCCACCCGCTTTGTCACTTCTGTAAATGAAACTGACTGTTTTTGTTTTAACACTGGTACGGTGTAACAATATCTGCCCAAAAAGTCATGTGTTCATGTAACTGCATGACCCCGGGGCTCAAAGCATGCAAAGCAGAAAAACAATCAAACGAAAGCCGCGCAGAAGTGCAGGAATCACTAAACCGATGAGGCAGAGGCCAGGGCAAACCAGAAGTGTCATTAGACAAAGTGTTGCTTATCAGTTATCCGAGGATCTTCAGAATTCTGAGCTGGTTTTGAAGAAAATAGCCGAAGTGCTGACACGTCTCAGTATCACAGGGGAGTTTTACAAGTTCCCACTCAAAGACTGTCATTTTGTTAGCTTAGAAACAAGCAAAAATATATTAATACCTGTTCTGCAAAATAACTGGCTTTCTCCTCACTGAGGCCTGTGGGAGAAACCATATGAGATTACCATACGTGATAAATATTAATTATCTTTTATTTAGTGAAAGTCAGGTGACCTACCTAGAGCAATAAAATCTGCTCTGACTTGTTCAGAAGACAAATTCCTTTTCAGGGCACCTGAATAAACAATGCAAAGAAGAAAAATCACTTTTTACTGAGTCAAACCAATCTTTACCGAGTCAAATAAATGCAGGGACGGAGAGCCTGCGATCAAAAGCCTCTGTTCTTGGACTGTGTTTTGAAACAAACCACAGCTCATCAAGATAGGAAATACAGCTGTGCCTGCCGGTATCTTTGCAGATGCCCAGTGCTTTAAAAGTCAGGGCGATGGGAGTGCCCGAGAGAGAGAGGGGGAGAGATTTCATTGCAGGTATCCATGGCAACAGCAGCAGCGGCTGTGTTTTGAAGTTGCTGCTTTCTCTCCTATAGAAGCTTTGCTTGTTAAAGGAGAACTGTTAAGGCTGGCAGGCTACTAATTTGACCTACCTGCTGTGTTTTGGATTATGGGTGTGAACGTGTGCATATAACACTTTCCCCTGCTGTGCCTGCCTCCTTTGTTCTGGGGCACAGGCAGCACATGGAAGTTTACGGGGATTCTGTTCTCTGAAGCCAAGAGCAGGAATCTCATAAATTCAAAGAGACTGCCAGTCCCACGTGGCTTCCCATCTGCGTAGCACACAGGCAAAGTTATCTGCCGTAATCTGTTCCGATACTGTCTGTGGCATCCCAGAGCTAACGAAAAGTTACAACGGGATTGGAGCCAGAGCACACAAAGAGGAATGACGAGACTGAGTGCGCCTAGTCCAGAATCAGGAAGGGAGAAAATGCCGATTCCGCGTTAAATACCCCCAAGACAGTTGTAGGAAAGGAAATTATTCATTGCCACTCCTGGACAGAAGAAATGGCTTGAAGTAGTAGAATAAAAGTTTAGACCAAATGCAGGAAACCGTTGTGCAAGGATTCATGGCTGTGAAGAAAGCTACGGGGAACCCAGGACTGAAGGATGGGTAGCAAGGGGCTGTTAATAACAAGAAGGATCAATGGGATGAACGTGCAGCGGAGGTGTTTGATGCATTATCATGTCAAATGGCAGCCCCATCAGAGTAATCTCATAAAGTGCTGGAGTCTGAGGTATTCAAGGGGAATCCCCCTGCCCCTCTTCCCCACTATTTATGAAAGAGAAACTGCTGGACACCTAAGTGTTTTTCTAAAACAAGACTGCAAGGACAGATGTCTCCTTTACACGGCCTAGAACTATGCCGGTTTCCAGCCCACTCTAGAGGGGTGTGTACCCTGTCTTATACGTCTCAAACAGCGCTTGTCCTTGTAGGAATTACAGTACTGGGTCACTTGGATGGAAGTTCCTACAAAGACTTAGTGCCAACATAAGGCTGCACCGGTCTGGCAAAAAGGGATTTACAGGTACAAGTTAAACCAAGCACAGCATTGTCACAGCGCTGTGCCTGCATTTAATGCATAGATATTTAAGTGAGTTCAGTTAAGCCTGTGAAATGTGTGTGCAGGCAGGCTGTAAAGAATACAAAGACCGAGTCATCACCAAACAGGGATATTTCAACAGGACGATTTTTGATTCTTAGATGCTAAGGCATTTATTAGCTACCATTAGCACTTATTGTGCAAACCAAGTGCACTGCGGTTCTGAAGACATACTTTAGCAGCATGCAGAAATGGACGCAATAGTTTGGCCTCAGGGTAGCACATGCAAATGTATCACTTACCATTAGGTACCAGAAGAATACTTTTGACAATGTTTTTCAGGGGGCCCAAGCTGATTTTATTCATGGTGGCAAAATCCGAGAGCTGAGCCAGAAACCTTTCTACCTGCTCAAGAGAAAGAGCAGTGACACAATCTTATCTCTGCATGTTTCTCACCAGAGAGCTGCATTCACACACTTCTCCGTGTTCTGCACATGCCTTACCTCCTTGGGCTCCGTTAGAAAGCGGAAGAGCACTTCAGTCAGCGCTGAGAATTGCTGTGGAGAAACAGGATGGTGTTACAGAGTCGGGCATCAGCACGCGTCATTTCTCAGCACCTTGCCAGCCCCATCACCACCACGACTAGGTGGTGATATACCATCTTGACACAGCTCCACCTGCCTCCAGTACATTGGTCCCAGAGTTTGACCTCCCGTTCTGGTAAGGTGCCCCCATCCTCGGCATTACAAGATGCCTATGGATGGGATTTGCTCGTGGATGCTTTTCAGAGACTCTCAAAGGGTTTGTGCAGCTGGTAGCTGGCACTGCACAGGGCTTTTGTGACTCGTGGCTAATCAGAAGCTGCTGTTCTATCCCATGTAATCCAAAAACTGTGAGTTGGAAAAGATGCGAACATCTACTCTCATGTTTCACAAACCCCATGGGGTAACCAGGCTAACTCGGGAAAGGAAAAGAACTGGTTAAGGTCTAGTCGCTGCCTTCAGTTTTCTGAGCATGCAGCTGGCAGGGCTGGAGAGCCTGCCTGTGAGGCAGAGCACCGCCACCCTCCCTCCCTCCTCTGCCAGCACCAGCACTGGCCATGACCTTCGGGGTACGGCTGGCTGGTCTGCTGCTGCAGCGGCTCATCCCGTCCTACCCTCGCGGTCAGCCGTGTAACTGAGATGGCACCGGGCTGTTACCCACGGTTCTGGCGAGCTGAGCTAAAAAAGCCTCAGCTCTCCCACTGACTTCAGCATGAGCCGAACCAGCTTCTGAGACGCGGCCCCACACCCTCTGTGTCGGGGACCCGGAGGCAGACGGGTACCGCCAACCGGGAGCACCGACTCGGGACAGGAGGGC